GAAGCTGCCGACTATGACTCTGGTGGAATGTTCGAGAATGTACCAAGTCCACTAACATAGGCTGCGAATTGTCCTAATTACTATGACAGATGAGCTTGGGCAAAATCACATGAATACAAATAAAATCGACCCTTCAGAATAGGCAGACCAGTCAATCAGATTAATTGGGCAGAATAGCCCATCAGTTCATACTTCCTGTTAGTTCGCTTCTGGACGCGTTTATCATTCAGAGCAGATTTGACTACCAACCTTTGCAAAATTAGGGTATTCCAGTGAATCGAACAATGTAAAATTAAGTCCAGCCTGTGAAGCCTCAGCCGAAGTGGCATGCAAAGCTGGAATAGGCTTTACATGTGGCAAGAATGGAAAAGAAGGATACCAATTTTGTCTCGCATCAGTGCACATTCGTCATTAAACAGGCCCGAAATTCCGGGTTCAAGTTATCAGGAATGCATTTTTTGATATAACATACATTATGAGCTTGCTTTATTTATAATTATCATATTATTATTTATAAGATCTGTACTCACCCTTTCCGTTCAGGGTGAAGAAGTACTGATAATTAAATTTTTCCATAAATGTATGAGTAGGCCTTACATTTTTATTGCATTTCCAATAGCCTTACTTCCCAAAAGGTATTTTCGTTCAGGAATGTGAGACAGCAGTTCGAGTCTCGCTGTGGGGTGATGATGAGAGTAGTTAAGGCAAGGTCGAAATAGCAATCCAGTACAGAAGGGATGGAAATACCTATTTGGAAGCAAGGATGTGCGAAATTTAAGGGAAGCACGAGGCTAATTCATCAGGTTTTGGGAAAATTCAGCCACTGATCTTTAATTACCTTAAGCGAAAAAGGGTTAAAATATCTCCATTTATTTCACTTTGCTGAACATCTCAGAAGGCTGTGCTCATTTCGCTTGTAATGCATTCCCGGCCTCGCTTCATTCTTTTGCCCCTCAAACGAGATTCGATCTTTGAACCTCGTCTCTTTACACAAATTGTGCTAAATGTTTAGAAAGTATCTTTTTATTTAAATTATTTTTCAGTTAATATCTCTGTCTTTTATTTTTACAATTCCATTGCTCGAATCTGGTTTTTGATGTGGTTGAGGCAGTAGGATTACCGACACCGCAGTCCCGGGTGGAAATGGGAAAAGTAAGTCAAAGTAAATTTTCCTGTAAAAAGAGAAAATCCTCTTGACAGGCAAGAGACCTACAATATGCAGAATAGGTGGTTTTCAAAGAATCCCCTAATAGCTTCATTTAGTTTGAAGACGCGAGCGGAGGGGACTCGAAAGTTAATATCACCTGAAGTCGAAGGGGGTAGCTTTGGAGGTGTCTGTAAATAAAATACTTGCTGGCAATGATTGCCTGCCTGCCAATATTTCTCCTTGGTACAGTATTGAGAATTTGCATCAAAAGTGATAAAAAATGTCAAAGTTAAATGCTAAAATCCGGACAATTTTCGCCCAAACTGTAAAAAAGAGGATAGCATCGCATTTGAAATAAGTCCCTTTTCCTTCTGCACTCAAATGAATAAAGTTCCTTAATCGAAGTTATGATTGTTTAGCAGACAATTTGTCAAACGTTTGGCTTCACTTGTCTCTTTGACGAGTTGTCGTGTGGTGCTAATATATGCGAAGAAAAGTTGGGTTTCGAGGAATCTCTTGTTTCATAATTGTTAAGCTTACTGAAAAGATTCGAAGCTCGGTTATTGAAACATTCATGCTGACGCTGTTTCCGAGGCAATCTCCTTCGATTTCGGTGAAAAGGTACCAAGCTTTCGTCCGTCATGTGACGAACATCAGCAGAGCATCGAGGGATTATCGTCACAACAAAATTCGAGCTAATGAGTCAAGAAAACTCACCGGCAAATCCCCAAAAAGTGGTACACATACTCTACATCTGTCCTCTTTGATCAAGTATAAAGTGGTTTGTTTAGTTAAGGTCATATGCCAACTTCGATGCATGTGAGTGTGTCTGTCTCTGTATGTGTATGTGCCTCTTTGTGTTCGCTTATGCACGAAACCCGAAGTGATGGCTGAAAGTAATTAGGACAGCAAAAAGTAACGTCTGTTCTCGGCCGGTGTTAAGACTGGCAAGACTCACTGACGATGCCAGCTGGAAATGTACCATTTCTACTGTCCGACTGGAGATTGGCATGCATGCTATGGTTCTTGACAAAGTGCCTTCTTCAAAGTCTTCCTGACAATATGACCGAGTTGCGAAAACAAGGTGAAACAACTTCTCCAAGGCGCCTCAAATTGCCAAATGTGCACGCGACTAAAAAGGACGTTTCCTCCATCCTCGGTTCAGTACGTCTTTTGATTCTTTATAGAATCAGGATTCCCATTCACTGCTAATGAGAATATTTATAATTCTATCCAATGCTTTTACTAATCCATTTGCAAATATAATCGCATTATAGTATTGCCATTAATATAATATTATTATCAAGCTCGCTATCTGACCATAGACAGATGCTACCAATTGGTACCGGATATATAAATTGGGTATTTATAGGAGTTGACCTCCCAAACTCGTCATTTGCATATATTTCGGATAGTTAAGGTTATATGTAAGCAACGAAGAGCACTCTCGGTTTGAGCATGTAGAAAAATTGGGTTTCGAAGTCTCTTTTAATAGATTAATGAATGAATATCCTTTATTTTGTTTGTAGAGACGAGTAGAAGAGATTCGAAAGTTGTCTTACCGGAAATCGACAAAGATCGGCTTGGAGAGGTGACTGTAGATTTTTGCCCATACGCCCTCGGCTCGTCCTCCCGAGACCGTCATTTGACGAACATTGTCAGAGTGGGATATCATTTTTCGCGATAACTCAATAAAACACAAAGACAAGAATGATGACCAGCTGTAAACCTACTTACTTCTTATAGCCCAAACTAGTCCCGTCAATGAGACTTCGCATGCTTTCCCTTTTGATCTTCGCGCCTGGTGAATTTTCATAAATCCTGTTGTCCTTCTTTGATGATGCCCATCAGGTGGCGGATAAAAACTCAACAAATCCCGTTTGGCAGGATGATGAACCGGGAGCTTATTCGCACAAATCTACTGTCTCAGCTCCAAAGCAAGCCTCCTTCGACTTCCGGTGAAACCAAATGTCCGAATCCCTTCCACTCGCCTCTTTAAACGACACGAAGGCTACTTCTACTCCAAGAGATCTACATTTTGTGAGTGTTTGTGTGTGTGTGTGTGTGTTTGTGTGTGTGTGGATATGATCCACAACGGTTTCTTGTGGTCCTCCCCAAAAGAAGTGATTTTAAGCCCCCTCTTCTGTCTCTTCTTCGTCCTATTTGGGTGAACTGTGCCGTCAGATCAACTCTTACATTTTCTTATCGAACTGGATTGAGGGTGACAATTAAGCGAAATGACGTGAAAAAGTGCCCATCTGGTCTGGACTAGAGTGGTTTCGCTTACCGATTCTGTGCTTGTCCATTTCCAGCCAGCCCTCCTCGTCTTCAGGCATCTTCTCGTGGTTGAGAATGGGAATGGTGCCATGCACCCAACAGTAATTTTCCATGTAGGTGTTAATCGGGGTTCCGCCTGGTACCGGCGACATGTAGCAGGCGATACCGTCCAGCAGGTACTGCTTGACGCCGAGTATGAAGGTGACCAAGATAAGCAGCACAAAAGAGTATTGGAACGAGAGTCGATCCGCGAAGTCTTCCAATCCAACAAAGTTGATCAGCTTTTTGCTCTCGATCACATCCAGCATCTCCTTGGCCAACATTTTGTTCGACCTTCAGCCCGTCCACGGCAAGGAAGCTGAAAGCAGTGGCAAGAGAAGAGAACAATCTCAGCTGGTTGACTGGCTGGCTGGGTGGCTGGCCAGCTGAGGTGTGTACCGGCTGGTGAGTCGTCTCTAAGCATCCTCTCTCCAAAGTGCCGTGTCTGAAGCGGATTCGGCTTTGGCGCCTGAAGACTTCCTGAAGCAACAACCCGTCAGCCTAGGCCGCTTGAGGTGACTTAAGGACTGATCTGAATGGTCTTTCCACGACCATACGATCCATTCGTGAAAACAGTACATTCCACCGAATCCCACCTCTTAACGGGTGTTCTCATGCTCCGTAGACTTGGCACTTTCAACCTCGCCTCAGCCTCTTGTCACTGCACCCAACGGGATTCGAACCTGGTTCGTCAGGGTCATGTGGCAATACAGAATCTCTCCTCCACACGGTCGCAGGACAGCCTCCCTCAAATCACACTTTTGCAGACACGAAGGGTAATATTGTTGAGGAGACTTTTATGCGAAATGAAATTCTCCCGCACACTTTTGTGCTTGCAGGGGCCGATAAAGCAGACATGCTTTTGCCATCAAAGTCGAAGATACTACTTATATTTCAGGTGAGTATGTTGTTAAAATCTTCGTTACTATTTAATAATAGCGTTAAAAGATACTCATACGGAATAGAAGTAATGTCGTCTGTTATACTGGCAAATGTATGTTTTCCTCGTCGACCAACCTATCACAAAATGTGATTTTAAAGAGGCTCGACTGTTCGGATCTATGAGTGGTAACACGTCGCCATTATGCAAATGACCCATGTCCAAATCCTGCGGTTCAACCTTTCTAGCGGCAAAACTAAATGAAAGTCGACGATATCGTGAAGTCTATTCATCTCCACTATCAGTCTATAAATCACCTTTAGTGACATTGGCTGAACGCATTTGTCATTGGATAATTCATTAAAGTTTTGCGTCCTTTCAATATGGCATTGGCAGTCCACTACATCCTATTTACCACAGACCGTGCATTAACCCTCAGTACAGTCTCGCCACATGTCGTCATCGCAAGTAACCTTTATGTGCCTGTCCTATAACGTATATAATAATATTCGAAATTATACATGGAAGTGCTCACTTTATTTCAGAGTGGCCCTTGTATTAGTTTAAAATAGAAAATAATTTTATTCTAGTAATATTTTTGACACTAAAACAGGTCTTTTGAAGTTAAAAATTTATGTCTTTGTGCTGAATGTTATATGATGTAATATTTGATGTTTGGTTGAAAATGATGTGTGTCTAATGTAACATGTGATTTATGTGATTTTCAAACCAGTTGTGTGAGTGTGTTTTAGGCCTGGCAATACGTATGCTATTTGGTTGAATGGATGGGTGTGATCCGCATTTAAGGCTGTGTATTGCATCGTTTGCATGTGAGCACTGGTCAAGCACTTTATGTGAATCGAGTGTGAAATGTGTGAATTAATAGCATTATTTGAACAGAAAGGTTCCTTATCTGGCCAAGCTTGTTAAGCATAAACAGAGATATAAATAATGATAATACAAAGATCTACACTCTATCAATTGACATAAATTATGTAACCAAGGCAAAATCTCGAATGCCCATTCGGGCTCGACTTACCCCGTTCAAGCGGTCGAAGTTTGTAGCGTAGAATTAGGAGTGACTGAACTGTGGTCCAGTGCCAGACTAGGTCTGCAGACATCAGACTCCGGCTTTTATTCGTCTCGGTGGCAACGCAGCGGTACGCACTTTGTCCAGGAGCTTCTAGCAGCACACCTCAGCTTGGTAAGTTAGTCTCCGTGTTTACTTTGTTTGTGTTCAGGGAAGTCTGGCACCAAACCCTCGCAAGCCAGCCAGAAGAGTGTGGACACGATTGTGTGTGATTCGGTTTGACTAATACAATCGCTGCCGTTTCACGTTGATTTCTTTCATCGCCATGCTACCGAGGCATATTGACTTTGCCTCCATTGCGTCCATGTGGATGCATGCGGAACGACAAAGGTTACAAGTTTACCTTTCAAATGACTGTGTCTGGGCTGCAAAAATCGAGGGAAACTTTGCGGAGTCTATACGATTTCCTGGCTCTACCGAGTGTGAAACAAGCCAAGATAGGTGCAATCATCCGCTCACCTCGTTACCAGAAAGCTTCGGCCGGGCAAGACTCTTTCCCGCCTCAATCGCTTTTAGAATTTGGCCTCACTTGCTACTCTGTAGAAAGGGTTTTTTCGGAATTCGCCTATACCCCCTGTCTGACGCATTCATAATGAGGTCTAATTAGCGAATTTGGTTGCTGCTCCACAAAACACCACAAAACTCATAGTCACCACTTGTGTGGATGATTATTGTCTAGACCATCCAGCTGTTGGCATAGTAACCCAGTATAATCACATTAAACACATCCTCAATAATGTGAATTGTGGAGAAAAGGAAACCGACTGCACTAGAACATGAGGGCTTTGACCCACATGTATGCACACATTCATATACACATAAGCACACTTATGCACAAGCAAGTATAAATGCACTCACATGTTCACATACGTACACACGTACTAAGTTACACATTTGTAGATATACATGAAGACAAGACTTGGCTCTTAATCCTATTACTTAGCGGATGACTTGGGTGAGTTCGAAGCTTAAGATTTCAATGAAATGGGCTC